CTCTCTCTCTCTCTCTCTCTCTCTCTCTCTGTGTGATGTATCCAGGTACTGCCCTGCGGAAAGGTGTCGCCTTGATGCAGGTACAGACGTGAAGCTGAAGCGAATGGCATCACAGGTAAGTCGTCGGGTAAGTCCCCTGGCCTCCGCCGGCCTCAACTCCCTAATCGCTGCTGCAGCGTGCTGCAGCCTAAGCTCGACTACTCCTACTGCAACGCCCAGCACTGGGAGACTACTCTCTACTCTAATGCTACTGCGCCCAGTGCGTCGACTACTGAAGAGTGAAGACTACGGAGGCACTGCCTCAGTACTACCTGAATGCTATCTCGAACTACCTGCCTAGAATGAGGCTGGCAAAAAGTTGGCAAAAGTAGGAACCTGGCAAAAATACAAAATGGTCTGGCGCCAAAATGCAGGAGTCTGGCCAAAGATGCCAGAAGTAGGAACCCCTAATCCTACTGTCGGGCACAGCATGGCCCATGTGGAACTGAGTATGCCACACCCCCCCCCTCTTTGAAAGACCAAGCCTACCGGTGAGGGCGAGGCTGTCTATTGGAGGGAGGGGCCGCAGTCCGGGTGGGACGGGCAGGTTGTGAAGCCTCCTTGGCTAGTCATTGCTTCTCGTAGTTCACATAGATAAGCGGTGTGGATGCTTGCAAGTCTGTTCGTGAAATCCATCGTGTGCCGTTGTGGTCGCACTGCTTGAAGGTGACGTTGTACTGCATTGGCTTCTTGCCATACTTGCGATGCGTGATGACGCGATCGATCTCTTGGTGACCATCCATAAAAGGAAGGTCCTGTGATCGTCGGCCCGGGAAGTTATCGCTCTTGGCTGGTGTGTAAGTCGCCAGTTTGGAGGCGTGGAAGAGCGGGTGGACCGGTAGATGCGGCAGGATGTCGATCACGAACGATGGGCGAGCGGGCTCCTTGCCTGCGGCTGATTTTATGGTCCAAAGTCCAAACTGATCACGAACGATGGGCCAGAGGGCTCCTCGCCCACGGCTGATTTTATGGTCAAAGGTCCAAACCACTTGGGGAGGAGTTTGCACGAGACATCTTGTTCGAGTGCGAACTCCTCGGAGGAAACCCATACGAGGTCGCTGGCGCGGATAGGACATGGCGCGAGATGCCGATTAGCTTGCTGTTGCATGCGGACTTGAGCCTTTTTCATGTTTGCGCCAGCAAGTCCCGTACTTCCAAATGGTGGCGAGAGAGCAAGAGGCGTTAATGTCGGCTGCTTGAGGGAATAGAAGATTTGTGAAGATAAGACCTTTCCGGCCATCGTGGTGTAACTCGAATGGAGTCACGCCGATCGCCGGATGCAACGAAGTGTTGTGGGTGAATTTGATGTCGGGGAGGCGGTCAACCCAGTCTTTCTGGTCCGGACGGATAAGCGTACGAAGCATCATTTGAGCGATTTGATGTGCCCACTCCGTTTGCCCGTCGGTTTGTGGGTGCCAAGCCAAACTCGGTTTCATCTCGGTGTCGGATTCCTTAATGAGAGAGATCCAGTGTTGATGTTTTTCAGAACTCTGTGGTCACAAATCCAGCTGGTGTGCAAGAGTCTCACGAGCTTGGGGGCCGTCGCATGATACTTGCAAGGAAGAAACTGCGCATACTTACTAAGTCGGTCAACGACTGTGACGATACTGTCGTGCCCAAGGCGATCTTGTGGGAAAGGTCCGGTGACGTCCATGGCAATAGACAATCCGGGTTCCCGAGGAATCGGCAATGGGCGCAACTCGCCGTAGGGTTTGCGGTTACGGGGCTTGTTGCGTCGACGAACCTTGCAAGATTCGCAATACCGTGTGACATCTTTGATGGCGTCGGACCATCAAAATTGTTGGCGATGTCGAGTGATCGTCCGGTTGACTCCGTAGTGTCTGACGAGCCGCGAATTATGGTACTCACCAAGGAGGCGAGTTCGTAATCGACGGTTTCATGGGACGCATAGCAAGTCCTTGCCTCGCAAATGGAGAAGCAAGTACCCGTTGACGATGCGGTGGTGACTAGCCGGCGGGTGGTTTGAAGAAAGAGAGAGGAGTAGTGCGGATCTATCTTGTATGCCCATACGAAATGTTGATGTAGGTCTTCGTCAAAGTCGAAGGCGTGGTGTATCAATGCGCAAAGATCAGCTCTTTGTGAAAGAGCATCCACCGCTCGATTGGAGAAACCCGAGATGTGCTTCAATGTGAAGTCAAACTGGTCGATGGCGTACATCCATCTCCCAATCGTGCTACTCACCGTCTCTTGCGTCTTGTGGTAGGTCAACGGGTTATTGTTTGTTACCCAAGTGAACCTACGACGCCCGAGGAGGAAGTGTCGCCAGCGTTTGAGTATTGTGATGAAGGCCAGCAACTCCTTCCTCGTGTCATCAAGCGAGTTGATGGGGGGAACCTTTTGGCTGACATATTCAACCGGGTGCCCGTCTACGAGGTCATGTTGTTCCAAGACAGCGCCGTAGCCGGAAGCGTCCGTAGTCACTCTCGTAGGCAAAGTCGGGTCGTAGATGCTCAAAATGGGAGCCATGAGCATCACCGTCTTAAGCTTGTGGAATGAACTTCGGACTTTGTCGGTGAAATGGAAGGGCACCTTTGGAGACTGAAGTCTGGATAAGGGTGTGGCAATCCGTGCGTGTCC